AAGTCTCTGTTATTCATATGAAAGAGTTTCTCTAAATATCTGTAGGTGCGGATTATGACTATGTATTGTTATATTTGTGCATATAAATTAATATAATTAAATATTTAATGATTAATGAAATTATTACATATGAAATATTGGAGCATAATAATAATCAAAATGATGAAATATGAAAATGATTGAAATATTAAATATTGGTGCATATAAATTAAAATGATTAAATATTAAATATTGGTGCATATAAATTAAAATGATTAAATATGAAATATTGGTGCACATAAATAGAAATGATAAAGTACGAAGTGTTTAATGATTAATGAAATTAATATGAAATAATGCATATAAATATAAATAAAAATACTTAAATATGAAATATTTAATGATTCATGAAATGATTAACTATGAAATATTGGTGCATATAAATAAAAATGATTAAATATGAAATATTGTTGCATATTGATAAAAATGATTAAATATGAATTCTGAAATATTTGAACCGATTAAATACAGAACATACGTGCATATGAATTACAATTATTTCATATTCTTCTTCTTGGGTTCATTTAGTGGAGAACAGTGTGAAAACATGCCTTGATTTGACTGTATTTGACTGTTTACAGGAAGCCGCTGGAGGTAATTTCATCACCTGGTCAGGATCATGAGCGCGTGTCCGTCGTCGCTGCTGGAGCTGAGCTCGGCCGTGTTAGCGTCCAGCACCGCCAGCGCGATCTGGAAGACGGCTCTGATGCCGAGGTAGAAGAAGCAGTCGAGGACACACAGAGCGCTGCGGAAGGGCAGAGCGCTGATGAACAGCGTCAGGAACCACGTGAGCGACGCAGACGCCAGCGGAGAGAGGTCAGGAATACGCTCCGACAGCTCCGGCAGACGCTCGCGGATCAGCTCCTCCAACACCGCCTGATCCACCTGAGCTCCTGACAGACAGGAAGTGACATCAGCAGCGTTACACCAGCCCAACCAAAGCACACACACCTCACACACAACAGGAAGAGCGGAGGGAAGCTGCCTTCATTGATTTCTAACTATAATAGTATCTCTATCTCAGTGATTCTGTTCAGAAATCAAAAGGAAAGAAAAACAATATTTTGCTAGACTTTTCCAGAGCTCAAGTTTAAGCATAGTTGATCCAAAGTGCTTTACATTAAAAATAAATCAGAATTATAAAAGAGAAACACAGGGTAGAAAAAAAAAAGAACAAAGTGAGATAAAAAAAACAAAACAAGTATCAGAATCAATCAACAGAATGATCCCTTTTCTTTGTTCCTAATAACAAGTTGTTAGTAGCAGCAGAACCCAGCAGAAGCACTTCGGTTTTATTTTCAGTCAGTTGCAGAGCGTTATTTGCCATCCAGGTCTTGACTTCATTAAGGCATGAAAAGAGATGATCTAATGAAAAGTCATTTGCTGGTTTGATCGGAAGATAGAGCTGAATGTCGTCAGCCTAACAATGATAAATTATGTTATGTTTCCGCAGTATTGAGTCTAAAGGGAGCATGTAGAAAGAAAACAAAAGAGGGCCAAGAATAGATCCCTGTGGAACACCACAATGGTTAGGTGCAGGGGGTGAAGTAAACGACCCGATGTTTACAGAAAAAGTCCTCCGCTTTATGCACGAGGCGAACCACTGTGAAGCTAAGCCCTGAACCCCAACAACACGCACGAGTCGTTTCAGAAGAATATGTGAACAACCGTATCAAATGCGGCACTCAGCTCTAAAAGTACGAGGATAGCACATGACCCAGAATCAACGGACAGCAGAATGTCTTTCGTAACTTTGAGCAATACTGCGCTCTAAAACAGCTGACAAAAACAGTTGCTGAGGGGTAAATTTAAATGAGAAATATCTTGCATTTGAGTTGTTTTTGCTTATTGTAATGCTTTTCGGTCTTATTTTAAATCTTTTTAAGACATCTCGAGGCCCCCTAGTGGAGAACCACTTCTTCAAGCAAACTATAAATTTTCCCCTTTTGATTTCTGAAAAGTATCATTGAGACAGCTTTTATTAACAGTTAAATTTATGTTTTCATTTTAGTTAAAGTTTTACCAAATCTACATTTTTAGTAGTTTTTGGTAACACTGCAATAAGGTCTCATTTGTTAACATTAGTTAATGCAATAACTAATATGAACTAACAATGAACAATATATTTTACAGCATTTATTAACCTTTGTTAATGTTAATCAAAACGTCCACGTTCGTGTTGGTTCACAGTGCATTAACTAATTTAACCAATTCAACTTTTGATTTCAATAAAGTACTAGTAAATGTTGAAATTAACATTAATTAAGATTGTTAATATAAATAAATTGATAAATTGTTAATGTTAACTATTATAAAGCGGAGAGTTCCGGTGCTTGA